ACATTAATTTCAACAAACTTTTAATGAGCCCAATCCGACCAGTTGACCTTATTTTCAGTTTTCTTTCATTTCCAAGGATGCCTTTGGGAGGAGGAAATAAATGTGGCCGCTGTTCGAAGACAGTTTACTTTGCTGAGGAAGTCCTGTGTGACAAACGGAGCTTCCACAAGTCCTGCTTCCTGTGCAGTGAGTACACTATTTGTTGTTTCCTCTGATTGTAGTTATGGAAACCACAAAACTGATTCCCTTATTTATTTAATTGATTAAATCTTTATTTTTTGTAATGTGCAAGTCACACCTCAAATGTTTTTAAATAAATTAAAGCATGTATTTTTATCTTTTGGTCTCATGTACTGATATTAAACTTTAGATTTCAAACTGCAGTAGCAAAATCAGTCCATCGGTGAGGGTTCATGGCCTTCAGATGATATTTGCAATATTTGTGTTCCCACTTTGTTAACAGACATTCCTGCAATGGAATTTAGATGTGGACATGTTTCTTCAGAAACGCTGTGCCATATAAGGAAGAAGTTAGGGGCCTGTCTAAACACATTTAAAACACACAAATATGCAAAACAATAATATATGCATTTCTGCCTGTCTGTGAATGTTATTATTTGTGTAGTGGTGTGTGGGAAGAACTTGGACAGCACAACTGTTGCGGTCCATATGGATGAAGTCTACTGCAAAGCATGCTACGGCAAGAAGTATGGGCCAAAAGGCTATGGCTACGGCCAGGGTGCAGGGACCCTTAGCATGGACAAAGGAGAATCATTGGGTATTACACATGAAACGTGAGTAATGCACATATTAAATTCTGGATGTCGGTTTTAGGCTCTTCATCAACAGTTTTTTGTCCTCTTCTTCCATCAGGCCTGCCCCTCATCATCGTCCGACCACAAACGCAAACCCCTCTAAGATGGCTCAGAAGTTCGGAGGGTCAGACAAGTGCCCACGCTGTGGCAAGGCTGTTTATGCTGCTGAGAAAGTGATCGGAGCAGGGAGTGTAAGAAAACCTCACATATGCAGAAACATGCAAGTAAATGACTATTTTTATATTAATTATTTTCCTATTTCCAGTCTTGGCATAAGATTGGGTGTTTCACCTGCGCCACATGTGGGAAGAGCCTGGAGTCAACCACACTAGCTGACAAGGATGGAGAAATCTACTGTAAAGGTAAAATCCATGTCTTCAACAAAATTAGGAAATACAATTACAAAGCTTTAAATTCCCTCATCAACCATACTTGTGTAAAAACAATTAACCATATATTGGTACTGAAGGAAGACTTCTGACGGTTCAAGAGTGAATTGATATTTTGAACATTTTCACTTTTTACTATCAAAAGCAATATTCACAGGACATCAAAGGCAACATGAAGCAGATTTATGCCTTACCTTTAAATACAGCCTGTTTTCAAGCTCAGTGATTTCATAAAAGAAAAAAAAAAACTAACAAAAAGAAGAGAAGGACAAATGACTGGTCATGAAGAACGATGCATAAGAATATCCAGAGGAGGGAGATTGTTGAACTAATAATTCCAAACATATTTCTATCTTGGTGTACGTCAATGCATTAGGTTTTTTTCACAATAGTAAAGAACGACAAAGAAGGAAGAGAGAAAATTCATCTTCTGGCATAAACCAAAGCCCTGCATTTATAGAAAAAAAGTTGATTAAACAAGACAAAAAATGTAGGGCTTTCACTATGTATTTTCACAACATGTGATCGACTTTGTTCTATAAGTAGGTTATTGCAGTACTCTAGCAGAACGTATCAATAATCCCAGCTTGGTTGAGTTTTAGTCTATTATAAAAAAAAATAAATAAAAATAAACATACATGGTTACAGAGGCTGTCTTCAGCAGTTTTATTAGAGACTGAATTTTGAACTCATATAGCTAATTTTGAATTTATAACACTGAATTTTTATCCTGTGCAATTATGTATATGAATTTTGAATTTCACCTGTAAATGTGGTGGTGACCTTCTGGTGACCTAAGCCAAAGAAACCAGCACTAGATTGAGCCCAGTGGCATTTTTTTTTTTGCTAATTATGCTTCTTTGATAATTAGACACCAGACAAAGTGGAAAAAATATCATATGCATAATTCATTTCACGGGACAAAACTTCGGTGTCACAAAATGCAATGTCTCAAAAAGTGAGAGTCTAATGAGACTATGTTTCTTCCATAGCAGCAGCGTGTGCAGTCCAGGCTTGACCCCAGCAAAAACAGAACCAAGAACTTCTTTAAACAAGCAATTAAAGTCAAACATTGCCAAGAGCAATATAAATATTGCCTCATTATGAGGCTCCCTACCAGCGCATAAATTGTCACATTTCATTTTGTTTTCTTTGAGTTGTAATAACCACAATAAAACAGCAGAGGGCTCACTAAAGTGACAGTTACTTTCAAGTACATAACACTAATAATAGTCATGGTTATGTTACCTGCCAACCTTGGATGGGCTGAGGGTAATGTTGAAATATTGTTCTCTCAATGTGTGACACTGTGACAGAAAAGATGAAACACACGTTTAGCTTCCTTTAGCATCTAACAGGAAGGTTTAATCTTCTGTGTAATAAACATATTCTATATGCAACACTTCAGGTATCAATGAGTAACTGCAAGGGAGAACTCTTAAATTCAGTACATGGCTATGATATTATTTTAAACAGAACAAGAATTATTTTAACATGATCCATTCAACGTTATGAATTTTATCAAATGAAAAAAATCTATTCACAGATGGCTTTTAATTCTATAAACCACATTAGCTTTTTTAGTTGGTGTTTTAACACCATGTTTCTCAGACCTATTGTATTTTTAACTGTGTTGTGCTTTTAACTATTTTAGTAGCTTTTACAACTTTTACTCTAAATATACTTTAACATTTAAGCATGTTAGCTTTTAACTGTATTAAACTGAAAAGGTGTAATGTTCCTTTAATAAACAGGTGTCAATCTCCAGTCCTTAAGGGCCGGTGTCCTGCAGTTTTTAGATGTGCCACAGGTACAAAACACTGGAATGAAATGGCTTAATTACCTCCTGCTTATGTAGATCAGTTCTCCAGAGCCTTGCTAACGACCTAATTACTCTATTCAGGTATGGTGCAGCAGAGGCACATCTAAAAGTTGCAGGACACCGGCCCTTCAAACTCCTGTGATTGCAGGAGTTTGACACCCTTGCAATCACAGACATAACTTCACATACAGGCACCCATTGCTTACTCACTGGATATCAATATTGTTTCTCTGGTTTTTGCAATAACCCATAAAGAAGCATCCATTTTACAAATAAAGAGACCAAAATATCATATTTTGTTTGGGAACCATTTGGAAATATGTAAAACCCAATCAATTCAAAGTGAACTCAGTCCTTCAGCCCCTCTGCTAGCTAAAACACGTACAAAGTTCGCTAGCATTAATTAGTTTTCAGAAATGTCTGTGTTCTAACCACAAACTGAATGGCGTGACCCATTAGTTGATGCTCGATTTAATAACCTCTTCAACTTTTAAAGATAACTAATATATATGCATCAAAATACATTTTTACTGACCCGTGATACAGAAGAGACACACATTGAGCTTCCTTCAGCATGTAACGCGAAGGTTTCTTCTTCTGTGTGCTCAATCTTCTCTATGCCACCAATGCGACCAGCGCCCCCGAGCGTTTGCATGTGGAATCACACTGAATAACTGAAATAACACTAAATAATTTATTACAGCGAGAAATTAAGGATAGAAAAAAAATGTTGGGGTGCCTATTTTCATACTTTGTGTTTTCATTTACTTATAACTTAAACCTCCTTGAAAATGCCCGCTCTCCCCATTTCAGTTAAACATCCCAGAAATATGAATCTTTAAAATTGCTTTATTTTCCAGGAGCACAGTGCCAAAGTTTATTTTTCCCCCAAGGAAAAAAAAAAAACGTTCTTAATTGTTTTTGTTTCTCCTCTGATTGTACTCAAATTAAAATGTAATTTATTTTAACGCTTTTATACTCACCTTTACCAGGGGTAAAGTCTGCTATGAGCCTTTAGTCAGTGATCTGAAATTGATGCTGATCTAGTGTAAACTGATGACACTGTTTTTGTTTCTAACAGGCTGCTACGGCAAAAACTTTGGTCCCAAGGGATTTGGGTATGGACTAGGAGCCGGGGCGCTGGCCCACACCCAGTGAGATCCGAGTCACGTCTCCATTGTACCGAGCTGCTTTCCATGCCAGCACAGGGCAGGTTGCATGGAGGATGCATCCTTCAATGTGATACTGCATTACAAAAATCACCACACAAACACAAAGAATGCAAACGCTATTTAATCCTAAGCCTTGTTTTTAGTGTCCAGCCTGTAATACAAATGTTGATGACCTGAAAGAAAATGAGCTTGAGTATGGACCAAAGATTTAGTCTTGGAAAGGGCCGATATTGTGCATCACACCTCAATATTGGCTGTACAGTGATTGAACTAATGCTTTGAATTATCTTTGGTTCAGAGTGACATGTTTGGTTTTCAATAAAATTCAGAAATTAAATGCAGTAAATACTCCCCGTCTGTGTACATTTTATACTTAAAAATGAAACAGCTCAGTGTAACAAATACAGCTTATCACTATATGCATGCACAGGAATACAAATAAAAACAGCCAGGTTGGGTGGATGTCTTCGCATTTAAACAAAATGCGTTCTGCACATTTCATACATTTTTCTCATAACACTGTCATGACCTCCTCATTCTACTCAGATGATCGCATGAGATGAATTCTGTATGTTGTCAAAATGAGAGAATAACAATATATCTCTACTGTCATAATGTGGGGAATGCCAGAAAGAACCAGTTTTTTATGGTTGGACTGAAAATGTTTTTAAAAAGTGTTAATGTATTTTATTTTTTTTTTTGTGGCAGTATTCAATAGTGTATTTAATTTGTAACATGAAACACATACAATAAAGCACCTTTATATTAAAAATGTGCCGTGTCTTTTTTTTCCCTTTCCTTTTTAGGGCTTTTCCAAAACGTAAAAAGTAAATGACGCATTTCCCGTGTTCATTTAAACATGTTTCGTCCCGTATCGTCTCTTTCTTTCTCTCCACAAATCCAAAACAATTTCAAGCGTCCCACTCACATTCATGTCCGTATTTCCTACACTGTGGTAAGAAAGTGAGAAGGCTACGATTAGCAGCATGCTGAACGACGTATTTTTCATTTCATAGTTTCATCAACCGAGACAATTTCGGAAGGGAAGGGAAGCGGCGTGACGAGTCCACGTACCTGTGTAACTGTTCATTCACAACAACTCTCTCACGCACATCACTCAGGAGTGAGTTTCACAAACAGCCCGGATCTCCTCTCCTCTTCCCGTCAGCGGCGAGGAGGCGGGGTGCTGGAGCTGAAGTGGGTGAAGGTCCACAGTGGAGTCGAGCATGTCCAAACATATCTGGGCAGACCAGCCAGCCAACCTCCACGCACGGTGAGCTGACACTACGTATAGGCTGAACAGAAGGTTGTTATTATCCACACAGTCAGGCTAGTCTGACGCCGCTATGTTTCTGTGAGGAGCTTTAAACTGAAAGTGAATGGATTCATCTGCTGAAGACTAGACGCCGTGAGTCTCTTCGTGCGGTTTAGGTCATGTCCTTCCCGGTGAAAGTCATAAGAGATGGGCTGCTGGAGAAGCGCAGCAGCGGGCTTCTCCAGCTGTGGAAGAAGAAGCGCTGCGTGCTCACGGAGGAAGGGCTCCGCCTGCTCAGCTACAAAGGCAGAGGCAGTGATGCTCCGGGGTCGGCGTGGAGCGCCAGAGCTAAGGAGCTGCGCTTTGAACGCATGGAAACGGTGGAGTGCGTGGAGTACAAGCGAGAGATGGTCTACTTCACAGTGGTCATGGCTAAAGGGAAGGAAATAGACTTTCGGTGCGCGCAGGACGGCACGCTGTGGAACGCGGAGATCGCCTTGGCGTTGGTCCGATACAAGAACCAGCAGGCCCTGCGGACCGGGAGGACCCGGCACCTGTACACGGCGCCCTTGGGCAGCACCGGGGAGGATGAAGTGCTCTGACTGGACGGTAAGACCAACACTGGTGAAGGTCAACAAAGTGGTGGGAGCAGTCTTTTAATTGGACGTTATCATTATTTTTGTTTTCTATGATGCACAAGGGTGTTTGCTTATGGTTAAGCTGTTTTGGTTTGATTTTTACATCAAGTCATTGAGACCAAAAGCAACATTTGGCTTGAGAACCCGAAGGCTCCAGTTGGAACCCATGTCTTACCACCGCTTTACAAACTGAGTTTTTAAACGAGTCTTAATGACATGTTGCCCGAGGGCCCCATTAGAAAAAGGGGCACACACAATGTTAATGTATTGGCCCATTTTCATGTAACTGAAGAGTGGTTCACAGTGACAGCTGGAGCAATGGGCAGTGCAACCTGACTCTATCTTCCATACAGCCGGAAGACAGTTTTCCAGTCTTCTCTGGCTTATTTTGGAAGGTACAATCAATAGAAAAGGTATGAATAAAAATGTTGGTTATTGAACTTATCGTGTGATTCTTAATCGCATGAACAAGGCTGTATATATATTTTTTTTTTATTTTCATCTCTTACATTTTCCATCCAAGGAAGTGTTTGATAACGAATTTCCAAAGCAATACCCTGCGGTATGTGCCCAGTTACGAAGGATATTTAAAATATATTTCTATCTGTGAGCTAAGGTGTGTCATGTGTGTAACATTACATCACCACACCCACTCATGGTCAAAGAGTTCATTTCATCAGAAGCTGTTGAATCAAAGTTTTCTTTTTTCCTCCTTCCTAATAGCAAAAGTTCTGCTGCCAACAACCTGAAAACCAGCAAACACTGATGCATCCAACTGTTTATTCAAATGCAAACACTCAGACACTTGGGATTAAGGTAACAAATATCTGACAGTCTTTCACCAAGTTCCTGACATGGTTGCTCTAGTCACTCTCAGTCACAGATCTCAGTGGGTTTTGTTTTTTTACTATGGTCATCGGTCTTCTGAGGACACAAACCACTCTGACTCGAGGACATAATTACGATGCAATGCAAGACTCCAGAATAACATCTGCTTGCCTCTCCCTCAGCAGGCAGTGGGGTATTTTTAAACATACACACCGAGACACACATTCACACAATTACTTTTATGCTTATGAAGAGAAATGTAGGCAAAACAATGTATTTTTTTATTTTTTATTTTTTTTTTAGTTTTCAACATTCATGTCACATTCTAGTTATATACTGAAACCAGTGCCTGAAACCTCAAGTGAACCGAGAGTCTGAAAGTCTGAACTATGAGCTCACAGATCAGGAATCCACAGCAACGCTTCCTTAAGCGAGCTCGCTGGAGCCAAGCGCCCAAATTAACTGTGTAGCTGTGGTAACAGTGTAAAATAAGTGAGCGTACGCTTGCAGATCATCAGCTGCCCGAATGTTAAAAATCTAAGTTAAGTAATAGCTCTTAAAAATGTTGTTTCCCCCCCCCACCCTGTTTTTCAGACTCCCTTCCTCCTCAGTTTGGGACTAATAGAAGGTGAGGAGGGATTCCCACATCTTCTGTTTTGTTTCTTCTCTGCACAGCATCCTGGGATGTGAGGAAGACCCAACAGTGACGATGGATAACAGGACCAGGAACACGTACAACTGTTTGAAGTTTTTACTGTGATGGTAATTTTTGTTTGTCATAAATGAACCATTCAGAGACTTCTGGAAGATTTAAAAACATTAGAAACTGTTAAACTTGAAAATAGTTTACCCTTTGTGCCTTCTTGATTCAAAAATGCTACTTAAAGCGTCACTTTAAAGGATTTTGACACTAGAGTAGAAGAATAATGTTCTTTTTTTGTACGGACTTAACTCATTCATGAAGTTTAACATGAAGAACTCCTCCCCCCCCCCCGAATCCTTTGGACGATTCTCTTAAGTGTGTTTGCTGATCTGATGCATAGTATTACAAATATGTAAATAAATTCATTCTTAAGCATTTTCTCTTACATGTATTTCTTTACAGGTCCATTGTTGAAATTGCACCTTTTCGAGATTTAAAGAATTGAGACGGATAAATACCTGATAATTTTTTTTTTACTCTTGTATAGCTCAGCTTACAAACAAAACATTATTTTGTTAAAATTAAATCAGCACTTTTTTTTATTATTTAATTTTAGCATTCACTCTTGGGTAGGAGTCCACACACCTGCCACTTTTTAACTTAATATTAGTTTTAGTGACTCTCTGCTTACTTTTTTTGCATAATGGGTCTAAAGGTACCACATCGGTTTCTTCAGATGACAGCGTATTCTCCCACAATGTTTTGGGAGATTTTAGCCAGCCTTGGATGTTTTCTGTGGAAAAGAATACAGCAGTTTTGCAATTTTCCTCCCTTGTCCAGATATAGAAAACACAGGAGGTTGTTGTAACATGTAGACCCAGAACACAACCAGTACTTGTTGGAAATAGCTGCAGGTCCTTCAGTGTTACTGTCTTCTCGTCGTCCTCCCTGACCGGTTTCAGTCTGGTGCGGCAATCGGTTTTGGAAAAATACTCTTTTTTTATTTCAGTCTCATATTTTCGCTAATAATTAATGAGTTCACAACATCATAGTTTCAAGCAACATCTGTGCTCTTCTGATCATTGGTAATTTTCTACTGTAAGATTATTTGCAACTTCTTTTCTCAGAAAATGTCAGAAAAATCATACCAAGACTAATAAACTTAATGAGATTATCTGTAACTGATGGAAGGTGGGCCATAGGGAGACCGTGCTAAAATTAAATCAAAGCATGCTTCTATTAGATAAAATTAATGCAATTAAGTCATATTCATCTAACCTTTCTGTTGTTTATATCTTATCTCCTGAAAGATTGATGATTAATTCTTGTTCCAGTTTTTTTTTTTTTGTCTTGTTTTGTTTGTTTTTATACCTTATGATTGTAACATGGATGTTTACACTTTCAAGAGTCACTGTATGTACATCTGGACAGAAATCTCTTCACGCTAAACAAAAGCTCACTTTACGGTCAGATCACTCGTTTCAAAGCGCATTTGTTTCCGGTTGGGCAGCAACTTTGCCTCCAGAAAACCCCCACATTTGTCCACACACACACACACACACACACACACACACACACACACACACACAACAATGCAGAGCGTGGAGTTGCATGTCTGTCGGCGTGTGGACACCTTTTGTTCAGAGCCGTGTGCAGGACTAATGAGGAGCAGTGTGAGCCAGAGGCATGTGCATGCAAACACCCACCCACACAATATTCACCTACAATAGCACACCCAAAATGAAATTCAGCGAGGCCCGAGCACTCGCAGACTGTTGTTTGCGAGACAGGCTTTTATTGTTTCTTTAAGGGTTGCTGTGCATGTGGGATTTAGTCAAGAGTTTTGAAATTTGTGTGCGTGGGTGTGTGCGTGTGTCTTATGTGTTTTCTCCCTGGGAATAAAGGCTTGGCTGTGTTGTGACTACTCCTGTTACTGTGGAAAACCCCAATGCAAGCCATACCACATGCGTCAGCGATGGACGACGAGCAGGACGAGAAGCAGGGAGACACCCACTTATGGATCTTTGTACCAAACCACATGTGCCGTCGGGCTGTTTTAGAGACAGGTGTAAATACTCACACAAAGACGTCAGCGAGGCTTTCGCAAATGCTCAGTGGCGCCAGTTTTGCAGTGCTTTCTAGAAATAGTAACCGTGTGTGAGAATGTGTACTTCCATGTCACTGTGAAATTTCTAAAGACCTTAACACAGGCTTTGCTTACTTTGCGGAGTTCAAGATGTGCACTAGCATGCGGTTACATAAAGTAACTCATCAAGTTAAGCTCAGAGGTGGGTAGCAATTAGTTATATTTACATAGTTACAACTGCCTAAAAATATAAATAGGAGTTGTTATCCAGCACTGTGCTTTTTTTCTTTTGCTTGAGAAACATTCTTAACTTCCCTGAACAAAGAACATTGTTATAACCAAAACAGCCTTTAATAGACCAGATTTTGAACATAACTTAATACACATGTTGTGATTAAATGTTGTGATCATTAGTCTGTACTTGAGAAACCTGTTAACCAAATACCTTTTTACTCTACTTGCCTCTGGTTAAGGCAAAGGATTTTCAACTATGTCAAAAAAATTGACTGCCTAGGATTCCTTTAAAAATGAGCCTCTGTTACGATGTTAGACCACTAGAGGTCAGTCTATCCTTTGTTAAATTGGTCAGCACGACGCTATGAAAAATTATTTGCTCCTCAACAGATTACTTTTGTCTTGTGTTTTTTTTTTTTCCTTTAATCAAATATGAATATTGAATATAGTAAGATGTATCTTGATATCAGACATTGACCTGAATAAATACCAAAAGCTGTTTTGGATGTCAGCTGCTTAAGACCCTTTTTTAAAAGTATTTTTCACCTAAGCCTGATGGCTGCTTGTGCCACCGCGGGTGAAAACAGTTTCCATCAATCACTTGTGGTGACTAGCAATCAGTATTCTATTTGAATTGTGCTACTGGTTTTTGAATAACCTACTTAATTCAACCACTGGGGAAGGTTTTCGGCATGAACAGCTTGTTTTAACGTCATACCACAACATCTCAGTCAAACTTAGACTCCAAAACCTTTGTTCCAGTCAGTACTCGTACATTACATCGCTGTTCAAGAACGGACTCAGCAGGTTCAGACTCCTTGTTGAATGTCTCGGATGCTCAGTGGATACAAATCCACCGACAGCAGTGTAGGTGTAGGTGTCTCTTGGCTGCGCCCTTTATGCTGGAATCTTTCAAAATTGGTCAGGGGCCAGGTTTAGCTTTCAGAGGGGTTAGTTACACTTTAAAAAGTCAGAGGCCAATTTCAAGACATTGAACTGCAATTTTATAGCAACTGAAGGTAACACATTTACTTGATTCTACTATAAAGTGGAATTATTTGCCTGGAAAATGCATGAGACAGCCCTTTTAAAGTACTAAATTTGATTTCGGTTTCGTATCTACGGGGATCCTAAAGAAAAACAAAGAAAGTTTCTCATGCACGAGAGAAATTATTAGGTGAGCACATTTGTTTTTTAAATTTTTCCTTCAGTGTCCCTTTGGGGGCTTCTTATGTATCTTAGTACTCTATTCCTGTACATGACAACATGTGCTCTTGACATCTTTGACAGCGTAAGTAGTTTTATCATTAAAATAATTGTTAACATGCAAGCTCATCCAGTCATGGGATGTGAGGCTCCAAACTTTTCGTCGTTGGTTCTGCTTTAGCTGTGTCTGTGAGAGACAAACAGACTGAACGAGATTGCCCTGAAAGAGAAATGGTCTTACCTAATAATAGCCTCCAGTAGAAAAAAGAGGGTGCTGGACAATGGGTGGCACAGTTAAATAGAGGGGTGCAGAACGACTGGGCTCATCTCTGATCTGTCTGCCCTGCCTCTGTCACGCGTGTTGCTCTCTTCTTCTCTTAGACACTGGTAAGGCCTCTATAATGTGTTGTAAAAATATTTTAGGTACATTGTCAGTCTGATTGCGTACATTTGACGGTATACAAAAAATGTAAATGTGAGAAGCTGACATCTTACTTACAGATTGGTGCAATGTTTGTTTTTTTCTCTTGTTTGTGATTTATATTTCCTTATATCTTTGAATCTAGTTTCTGTCTTGCTTATAAACAACAGAGCGGTATCTAACTGGATATTAAAGTAATGTTTAACTGGATCAGATGTAAATGAAAGATGTTTTTTTTCAGATGTAAAATTTCGTTTTGCTTCGCCAAGCTGACTGCATCACAGAGGCTCGTGAGCATCCACAAATTGCTAACAGTGAACCCTTGATCCAGGCTGGGCAGCTCAGCTCAGCTCCTCTCCACAGCTGTCTGGTCTATTTGGGGAGATGGTCCAGTCCACTCCAAATTCCTCTGATACAGATAATCCTGAGGAGAAAGATGGGGATGAACGATACAAGAGGAGACATCAGGGAGGGTTTACACTCTGGAATTTTCCTAATCCACTGGAACAGATTGTAGCCCTCGTAAACCAAAACATCTTGTGCGGTGCCATTCATAACAGAGATTAAATAAAAATGGTGAGGGAATGTTGATGCAGGGGGTTGGGGGGAACAGAGACAGTGGGTGAGTGTTTCATAACTTTGTGGATAAAGAACAGAAGCCTGTAATGCTGAGGGGAAGGGAAAATATCATTCACCCAAAAACTGAAAATCATCAGTTCTGAGAATTACTATAAAAGACCTGCAGCACTGATTTATCCATTGGAGAAAGTCAGGAGAAATGTCACTTTAGAGCAGTAGCTTGGGCACTTAACAAAATGCCATTCTACTGAAAGCTTTAAAGCTGTGCCATGTGATCAGCTCACTATGCCTATAATTCACGCCAATGACCAATACGTGTGTAAAAAAAAAATAAAAAAAACTACTCCAACCAAAATTGTGGTATTGATGAGCTAGATAAAAGAACGGTAAACTGCAACTCGGTTGTACTCAACCACAGTTAGTTCAAATTGGTTTGAAACAAAATAAAAATCTTGTTTAAAAGGTTACTGAAATAGTAACAAACTTTGAATAATATAGCCCTTGACAAAACAAAGTAAATTGTAGTGTTCATTGGAAAATTGTGTTGGAAACAAGTTGGACTTTAGTGTTGGCGATTCTGCTAAAACTGGTCCAACCTTAAATTCTTCCTCCAACACACACATGTTTAAGTCATACAACAGCTCCTAACTTTGATTCAACTAATATATTCATTCATAATATGATTTAGATAAACATGTTAGCGTTATTATTCCCTGATGGACAGGATACACAATGAATGGGAACAACTCTTTGTGTATCCCTTCAAATTGTAATTAAAATGTTTTATTGGTATTTGCGTCCAAAATAAAATTGCTAATATTGCTCAAATGAAACCATCACCGAGCGCCACACTCACACATACAGGGCGCTTAAATTCAATTTCATTTATTAAAAGTAAATAACAAACTTTTAATCGTCCCCTATGAAATTATTATTTGTAAAGTGATATTTTGTGGTAATGTTTGACATTTAAATGCCAAACAGAGCATTAAACAGTTAGAGAGTTCCTGTTAGCCCCCACTCCACAAACGAGCATGAAGAGTGTAGACAGATGATAAGGTCCATCAAAGGCTGAGAGACAAACGCTGACAACTGCTATGTTTCTAATCTCTTCTACAGCTCATCCAGAGAGACCTCATCAGCAGGATGCCTGAGCATGTGTGAGTGATTAAACTTTGCCTTCCCTTTATAGACCATTGAATCAGTCGCAAACAAAACAAATATTGCCGCTTTACTCTGAGATTGCTGTTAAATTGTTCCCCAATCTTCCTTTACAGACAAGAGGTAAGACTATTTCTTAACCGAGGAATAATTTCAATGAGAACGCCTTGGTGTAAATGACATACATGTACTGATAATCTCCTGCCCATGCAGAGAAAATCAAAAATATCAGCCTCGAGGAAGCTGATGCTTAAGGTAAGAAACATCACTGTCAAATATTATATTATGTTTTATGTAATGTGGGTGTTTGACCACAAGAGAGCAATAGGGATGGACAAATGCCATGTATTCCTCTTCCATGCGCACTTAGTCGTTATAGCTGGTCACTAGGTAAGGAGGTGGAGACATACAGTGTATCACAATGCAACACAGCATAGAAAATAAGGCACACACACATATAGACACACATATAAAGGAATGACTTAATCTTACATGATTTTAAACTGTCAGTGGAAATCAGAGTGTCCAAAGAAAACCCAGGTAGAGCAAGTCCACACTCCATGAACAAAACCGCAAGAGAACTTAAATCTCTCTTGATGTAAGGTGCTTTCAAGCACACCGGCGTGGCAGCACTCGACAAATACCATAAGAACAAATGATTGAATATTTTCATTTAAATTTGAATCAAAAGTTGCTAAGAGAGAATTGTTTGTCCAGAGCCTGATGGTGGCAAAGGCCAAGGAGGAACTGGAGCAGGAGGTTCTTGTCAAAGAAGAAGAAAAACAGAAGTACCTTGCAGAGAAAGCGCCTCCTCTGAACACCGGTGGTTTCAGTCTTGCTCAACTTCAGGTACTAATCCACCAGATATACTTTTTTCCCATATGTTTGGTCAACATGTGAAATCCTCTGAAATGTGTGTGCATTGTGTGCAGGATCTCTGTAGAGAGCTCCACGCAAAGATCGATGTGGTTGATGAGGAACGATATGACATTGAGGCCAAAGTCATGCTTAACACACGCGAGGTGGGTTAACGGTAACAATCATGCTTATCTTCAGTCATACAGGTGATGGTACAGCCACACGAGAACACCCTGCAGCTGGCCCACTACATATCTCTCGATTCTCTCTCCCTGGATCAGATTAAAGACCTAAACATCAAAGTTCTAGACCTCAGGGGGAAATTCAAGAGGCCTAATCTTAGACGTGTCCGAGTCTCTGCTGACGCCATCCTTCGCTCACTGCTGGGCTCCAAGCACAAAGTGTCCATGGATCTTCGAGCTAATCTCAAGTCCGTCAAGAAAGAAGACACTGAGAAGGTGGGCTTAGAAAGACAACACTTCACAAACAGACAATCAAAACAGCCCAAGAAAGATGAAAAACTTTCCTCAGGGTGCCGATTTGAGACATTTATGAGGTCAGTCTTCAGGATCCCATGAAAAACCTGAACAATGTGATTATGTGTGTGTGTAAAAGGTGTGTTTGAGTAATCCAATAGTTGGCCAGTGCAGGGTGGAGGTGTGGTACATGATACAAAGATCCAATTGTACACTTTTGTCACTAATTCTGCTCAGTGGACACCATTTGTCAGAGAGTGTGTACATCTTTGGATTAGTCTGTTTAGGTGTGTACCAGTGTGTGTGTGTGTGTGTGTGTTTGCACTAATCCGTGAATTTCTGTGAGCAATACATCAGGAACCAGTTCCACAAGTACGGCTAACCACTGTTCTCTATGGGGATTTCCGTTTTATAGAACAGGTCCCGAAGGCTCAGCAAACAATGAGGTTTCCTAATGCCTCTCATCTCCACAGCGTCAACAAAGAAACTTGTACTGGGTTTTTTGTAGACTTCTTCTTACATCATCCATTTGCTCATCTGTCTGCAGAAGAGGCCAGTGGAGGACAGCGACTGGAGGAAGAATGTGGAGGCCATGTCTGGGATGGAGGGGAGGAAGAAGATGTTTGATGCTGCTAAAGGCTCGGCTCAGTGAAGACAGAAAGATGCCTGTCTTCTTAATCGCTGTTGTTGATCTGCTGCTGTTTTGTGTTGCCTATTTTGTCTTCTTCTATCCACTCATTTAGCTTTTGGTTTTGATTTGCATCTAGCTTTGTTTTGTGTTTTTTTTTTTTTTTCCTGCAATGGAAGTTTTCCAACTAATATGTTTAAAAGTGAAATGAAAATTGTGTTTTTAAAAACAATATGCACCGCACTCAAATGAAGCTAGGGATCATGCAAATTGAACTGCATGTTTGATGTGGTTTCGTCATAACTATATCTGTCTGCGGTGGGTTTGTGAGCTGTAACACCATGTCTTAAAGGAATAAAAAAAAGTAGACAAATATGTTTTATTCAACGTGGCATTTTTGAACATTTACTGTGTTCAGTTGTCACCGTCATGTGTGTTGCCTTCAGTTTTTCTCATAAATTTCTCAAATTAAAGTGTACGATGTCTTTGCTAAAATTAAAAATGATTTTTTTTTTCAAACCAATGCCGTTACACTTACACACACACACGCACACACACACACTTCTGATGCTGAACAGTGAAAGATAAAATTGAAAGATGAAAGATAAAATTTATAAACTCAAAATAAAGGACATAGAAACATATTCATAAAAAACGGTATACCTTATCAAAACTACTCATTCAAATAACAAATATAAGAAATGCATTGTATCGCAAAAACATCTAGGTATGCTATATATAAGCATACTTTCCTATGCTTATATATATATATATATATATATATATAAGCATAGGAAAGTATCCTCACTGCACACCTCTGTAACAGTTGTTTGCTTTGCATGTCCATAAAAAACAAAACTGTCCTTTCATCCTTTTTTGAACACTTTATCTGGTTGAATGCAAATGCAAAATGTTGCTACTTGGAAATAGATTTCTATCTAGCTTATTTTCTAAAAAGAGCTACAATGATGACAAAAGTATTTTAAACTCTGGGCAAACAAACACCTCAGATCTTAAAGGAGTGCAACCACGCAGAGGTCAAATGTCAAACTGCAGAAACTTACTGAAGAATGACATGCAAAGCAGCACTCCTAGACAGCATTTTACTTTGATGCAGACTTTTCCTCACATGTGTGGGAAGCTG